GAGTGCATATCATACACTGTCGTCTGAATTACATTTGTCTAAAGAAATGATTTATTCGCATCTTTTTTAACCTCTTGCTCGCTCTTTGTCTTGTTAAGTTATTGAAGTGAGCAAAATGTATAAAAGAGTACATAAATCGCTCATCTTGTTGATAATAACGAAGAATTCCTTTTGTTACTCCGTTACTCATTTGAGCAAAGATTTGTACATTTAAGCATCTCAATCAGAGTAAAGTCGTCGTTACTTCCATTTGCACGAGCCTGGAGCTTGTGCCCCCGGAATGCGAGTAGTAGGCCTTAGACATTTAAAAAGGGTGGTGGATTATTAGATTAATCTGTATCTGTGGTGAAGTGTCATCGTAATCTTGTAGGTTCTGGTTGGCAACTATTTTATTTTTTATTTTTATGGAAGTACATAATACCTTTTCAGCGATGTGGTTTCATATCTAATTGGTCTCCTGCTCTCACTAGTGCATCGGTAGATTCTTTAACTAATTATCGAAAGAAAAGGGAGAGGAGAACATTTTTCAGCATGCGACCATGGCAGAAGTCCAGTTGGACAAAAACATAATATTGGCATATATTCACGTGCTTTCATGGCTTATCTTGTTGGCTCGTGCATTTGTAAAAGTTAGTTCTTTTTCAAGACTATATGATTAATTAGTTCTTTTTAAATGTTATCTTAAAGTTTTTCCGTGCTCTTTGAACATCTTTTAACAAAATACCATATACTTTGAAATTTTCAAATATATGCTATGAGGATCAATCGATCAATGATTCATTTATTCAGTTGGAAGTTCTTTAGAGCTGCATTGCTCCACTTAAAGAAGTGTTCGATCCTGTGGAACTTTGTATGATAAATCATGTTCCAAGTACTTGTGCTGTTTTCAAATTTTTATTGATTTGAAGTGTGTAGCTCATTTGCCAAGTAAAATATATAGATCTTTGCATATAACGTCTAGTAGCCATAGTATATTGCTGATTTGTTGTACTATGGAATAGGCCTATGATACGAATCTTTATTTATTTGTTTGGTGCTTGTGGCATTAAAGCAAGGCTTGTCATCGTGCTATGTTCATTCATAGCACATTTCCTGAGGTAGCTATATGCCGGTAACATGTGACATTGTTGCTATATATATGATACAGAGCATAATTTCGATATCTGAGTTGCATGTTCTCGTTGTGCCAACGACTCTTTTCACACATTAATGTAAGAGAGAATGACACAATCTAACTATAATTAGATTGTGCCAACGACTCTTTCCAAACTTCCAATTGCATGTTCTCATTGTGTCACGGTCTCCTCAAACATAGCATGAAACGAGAGTGACACAATCTAGAGTTTTACTTGCTATGCCTTTTCTTTTTTATATGCTTGTCTTCGTTTTTGTTGTTGTATGCTGCCAAATTTTACTCGATAATGCAAGAGTGAAATACTTGATGGTCGAGAGTACAAGGTCTTACCCGGTGGAAAATTGAATGTAACTTGGATGATAGGTTAGTCTATCCAAACCTAACAGAACACGTTTAATTTCTAATATTTTGTTTGTTTATCTGGTAAAATGACGAGGAACTGGATAATAAATATTACTGCTACTGCTACAACTGCATATGGAAGAAGGAAGATAACTTTATGCTAAACCCCGGGTCTAGCGGGTGTTCGAAGTTTACTCCACACATATTCCCATGTACTCCCGCACTCTACGCTGAGAGGAGCTTTTATGTCTCTCTCTCTCCTCTCTCTCTCCTCTCTCTCCCTCTCGGGTTTCCGGCCAGTACTGCTACCTGTGCTTAAGTGCTTGTCATTTCGTTGGACATCCTCTTCTGTAGTGTCATTATTGCTTCATACGTGTCTGCTCACTACACGTACTTCTGCGTTGCAGCGGGGTCCCCTAAATGGAGTCCTGTTCTCTCCGCTTCATCAAACCCTATCACCTTCAAACTTTTTTTTTAACTTCCCAGGGGCAGTAACGTTTTAGGAGGGATGTATTCGTCGAAATACGGTGGCCTTGGCGTCTTAAAATACTTCTATCACGCAGAGTTTTATAATTGGCTTGTGCAAATTGCCAAGAATGCCATGAAGATTGTGCACCCGTTTCATAAACATCTTGCTCCAAGAGCAGAGGGCTTGCTGGATGGCTAAAAATTAAGATTTCATGTGATCTAATATCAGTATATATGATTTTGAATTTCTGTTTATATGTCTTGGGTTTGAATTTTTTTATTTTTAATTATTGTAATAGTTTTACACTCTTATTTCTTATTAACAAAAATAATTAAAAAAAATCTAAAAATTAAGAAGTGTGGACGTCCAAGAAGATGTAATTTACATACAAAGTACCAGTAGAAATAGGAAACCTAATAATGTAATACCTGGGCATCTTTTAGGGTTTTTTTTTTTGGTTTTTAAGAAAACCTTTTAGGGTTTGCCTCTGGTGAAAGTTCGCCATTGTCACCGACTTGCCCACTCACTAAGACATGCACGGTGCTGATGGGCTGTGTCGTATGTGTGTCAGTTCCGATTTGATTGAAGGACCCGTCAGTCTTGTCCACTCTGAGTCTCTGACGTTGTTGTCTCACCTTTCCTCGAAGTCTTAGTCGAGCTGACAAAAGAGACTGTTTTCGGTATTTCGGTGTACCGGCTAACAATGCAACCCACAGGCTCTGGGATAGAAAGAATGGCACCCTATAGTGCCTTTGAAAACTAGTTCATGGTGTGGGACCCTTGCTCTTCCGTTCGCTTTGAACTTTTAATTTTATTGGAAATATGAAGGAGAAACACGTCAGTGTCATGGTACACTGCAAGTGGATCATACTACGTGTAAGTTTTCTTCACATACCGTTGTATACAATAGACATTAGTTTTCACGGTGATAAAATACATGTGCTATGTATAAGTTGCTCTCAAGCTTGAGATTTCATAACCGTAAGGCATGTGCTTCAGTGTAAACTTGAAAACTTTATCCCATTCGGGAAAATTGCCAATCATACAGACAGGAATTTTGACATGAGAACACAGAAATCATGAATGCTTAATTAGCACATAGTTATTATGCATTGAAATTGTCCAGGCGTAAAAGTCTACTAGTTTGTTTTTATCTTTCCCCAAGATGTGAGTTTAGTACAACTCTCCGAGAAGAAAATAGTATTGACTAGGGTAGCTGTATTATATAGCACCCTATTGGTATTGAAATGGATTTAAAGGTTTAATTGTATAAGCTGATGGACAATGTTGGTGATTAGATGAAGGTGGTGGTATGTCATCGGATGAGGATTTCAGCGGAGGCGAAATAGATGTGCAGGAAGCTCAACAAAGAGGTGAAGATCGAGATCTCAAGGATCGGCTTATGCGTAGGTTTGGCAGTCATCTCGGAACCTTGAAGCTTGAATTCTCCAAGAAGAAGAAGATAGGAAAGCTGCCGAAAGAAGCAAGGCAAACGTTACTTGATTGGTGGAGTGTTCATTATAAATGGCCATATCCAACGGTACTTAAACCTCTCTTCTCGCGTTATAACACGTAGTTTAATAACTCCACATGACGATACTGTCACACCTCAATATTTTTCATATATTCGCCTAATGACATTGTTTGATAATCACAGTGGTTTCCTTTTCTTCCTTTGCTCTAATTTCATTCAGGAGGCTGATAAGATTGCGCTAGCGGAATCTACGGGGCTGGATCAGAGGCAAATTAACAACTGGTTTATAAATCAGCGTAAGCGTCATTGGAGACCATCGGAGAACATGCAGTTGGCGGTGATGGATGATCTTACTGGACCATTCTTTACAGATGAATGAGTTGCATGCATGTACATTCTCTCAAATGCTTAATAAAACTTCTGTCCTGGTAATTTATATGTGCATGATCTGGAAAACGCAAACCTTACTGACATTCGTCGATCAATTTACCCCATCTCTAAGAAGATTAGGGGGAATGTGATTGTAATTTGCTTTAATGTTATACTCTATGGAATTTGACCACGGTTGATAACGAATGAAGTGCTTACATGCCCTTGCTATCACTTGCAAATGATCCAGCCTCAAAACGCAAAACTCGTACTCCTAAATGTCGGAATTCTAGGGCACCGACTTTTATCCTAACTAGTTTGACAACATATGATTTCTTCCTTTTCCTAATGAGTTTTCCCCTAATAAATGCAAATTTGAGCCAAATCAAGTTCACTGGAATAGTGTACTCATTCTTCTGCACTTGAGTATGAATTTTCGTACTTGTAATTTAGATAAATTTAATGTAGTATATTACTTGTATTAAAGGAAAAAACCTAATCAGTATGCCCCAAAATATGAGTGCTATAATCAACTGAGAAAAGTGATTAAAACCATTTACATTTTGGTTAGATTCATTTCTCTTCCAAATATTGGTAGAGGTAATGAGATCGAATATTCATTTTTGATTAAAAAAAAAACACGCGAAACATGTTTGCTTATATAAAATGAGTATTGAAGTGATTTTGATTGTTGACTTTCTAAGTGTTTACGAACTCAAGAAATTAAAAAATTGCAGGTTTCGCATAACAATTCACATCCTTCCAAACATTAAGTAAACATATTGTGAAATCTGTAATGTAACATAATGTTGAAATGTTCTACATCGATCGTATCAATAAGAAAAGAAGAGTTTAAATATCCTAATCTCATTCCAACTAATACCGAGACATTTTGTGATAAAACCCCACCCCTAACGGATTGTACAGGTGGTAATTACCAAGTTGGGGACAATATCGGTGTTGTTGGAAGTGGACATTTGACCCATCTCTCTGATAATTTTACACGTAATAGTTCAAGAATCAAGAATCAAATCAATTAGAAAGTCTGATTGGTCATATCTCCTTTCCTTTCCCTCTTTCCTTTTTTTTTTTATTTTTTTTTGTTTTCAATTATCTGATTCATGACTTCCCCATTCAAATAAGTAGACACGCTATAAAAATTTGAAGATCGAAGTAATTTCTCACCATGTAAAACCAGATCCAAACTGAATTATATAATCGATTATGCTTAAAATCTGAGGCCATGCATCACTATTGGGCTAGACTGAGATGGCTAGCCTACATTGGGCTTACTTTAGAACCGACGACCCGTAATTTACCGGAATCGGGCCCCCTTATCCGATCACTGATCTCAGAAAAACGGGTGTATCTCTGTTTCAGTAACTGACATGGCTTCGCTTCGGCTTCAACTTCCATTCTCTGCCGGTCCATGCCTACCCAATTCCCGGTTCAGACGCAGTCGGGTCCGGTCCTCCACCGAACGCCAGGCGCTCTTCAACCGCATTGCCCCTGTCTACGATAACGTTCGATTTTTTTTTTCTTCAGTTGCAGTGTCACTTTTTCTTTGATTGTTAATAATGAATCTGTCTAAATATTTATCTTCCGTTTTTATTTTTGGAATAATTCTTAGTTAAATGATTTGTTGAGCTTGGGTCAGCATCGAATATGGAAAAGAATGGCAGTTTCGTGGAGCGGGTAAAAATTAACTGACTATTTTTTTGCTTTATTTTTGGTGGAACATATTTGGGTCTCTGAATATCAAGTTTTTGAATGTTGGGTTGCAGAGCAAAAATGGGGGAGAGTGTGTTGGATTTGTGCTGTGGAAGTGGGGATTTAGCGTTTCTCTTGTCTGAGAAAGTTGGGTCCAATGGCAAGGTTCGTTCTTTGATGTAATTTGCTTAAAGATTGGTAATTTAATTTGAATATGAGCTGATGTTTGTGATTGGGATTGTAAAATCTGGCTACATTGGCAGGTGATTGGTCTTGATTTCTCGAAGGAGCAGTTGTCAGTTGCTTCGTCGCGGCAAAAGTTGAAGTCGAAAGCCTGCTACTTGAACATTGAGTGAGCACTGGTAAATCTAGTGGTCGATCAACTAAAAATGTTTGAAATTTAACCCGGGGTTTTGAAAGTGTTTTATCTTTTTCACCTCGTTTGTTTTACGCGAAGCACTTTAAGTAGATACTGAATTACTAATCAGCATTACATTAATGTGAATAATTGATCATGTTATGCGTTGCATCTTGTTAGGTGGGTTGAAGGTGATGCAACTGAATTGCCGTTTTCTGACGGTCACCTTGATGCCATCACTATGGGTTATGGGCTAAGAAATGTTGTAGACAAACACAAGGCCATGGAGGAAATTTTAAGAGTTTTGAAAGCAGGTTCCATTCCCTCTCTCTCTTTTTCGCTTGATGACGTTGTAGTTCTATGTAGGTCAGTTTTTCTCATTTTTGCTTGGCATCACAGGCTCAAGGGTATCAATCCTTGACTTCAATAAAAGCACCAATCCAGTTGTTTCATCAGTTCAGGTACTCATAACCAGATACAATAAGTTTTTGTCTTCTAACGCGTAGACCAATTTAACCATTCTATTTTTATTTTGGTGAACAAGTGCTGAATGCTTCATGATTCAACTTTTGCTAGGACTTGATGATTGACAATGTTGTTGTCCCCGTGGCATCTGGTTTTGGACTTGAGGAGGATTACAAGTATTTAAAAAGTTCAATCAGGGAATTCCTGACAGGTGCATTTTCCTTGCTCTTTATTTTTATGGCATCTGCACCTCATGATGTTTTAATCTGTTTAAGCTATCTTTGTACTGCTGTGTTTATACACAGTATCTTCAAATTTTGTGAACTCTTGGGAATTGTTCTGTTTGGAGGCCTTTAGGCATAGGCTTAATAAGTGATCAAGTGGAGTGGTTAAGCGGATAACAGGGTACTAATTTGTTGATTAAAATCTTTCTGTGAACACAGGGGACGAGTTGGAGAAGCTGGCTTTAGATGTAGGTTTTTCCAATGCCAGATATTATGAGATTGGCGGAAGCCTCATGGGGAACTTAGTAGCCACCCGATAGGTTGATTCATGTATGCTATTTTCAAATTGTGTCTTGTTGAACACAAAATATGTGCCTTCGGGAAATAAGAAAGATGTTGTGGCTCAAACATTTCTTTTCATTTGTTCTCTCACAGTTCTGAATATCAGTCTTTAAGAGCATGTCTCAAGATCAATTTTACTTCTACAAATGACAACGAAAATATTGCTCATACTGTCTGGCTCTGAAAACTGAGAAAAAAAAATATTGCTTTCTCTTGAAGTCTCACTCAACCATTCTCACAATTTCTACAAATCCTCGAATGCCATTTTGTACTTTCTCTCAATTAGTCAAAATTGGCCTTGTCATTAGATGTGCCCTCTGACTGAGCTGAGCAGGGCTGAGGTGCAGCCTGAGATTCCTCGGCTCCTTCAGAGGAAAACTAAGTGCTTGTAATCCTTGGAAATATGTGAAACCTTTCGTTTTCATTGTGTTGTGATCACCTAGGATAGAAAGAACTATGTGAAACACTCGCAACTGAAGAAGCATCATCTGCATTTAGAGGGTAACATTGGTCGTCACCATTGTCATTGAGTTCCATGGTCTTTTCATCTATAAAAGGTGGATTGGCAGGTGGAGGAAGGTCCAGCTCCTTCTTTGTTAGCATCTGCAGCGCCTTGGACATTGTTGGTCGTAAAGAGGGACTCTCTTGGGTGCATAGAAGTCCTATCTGGACCACTCTGAATATCTCATCCTTAAAGTTGTCATGGAAATTTTGCAACATTAAGTTTGGATCGTATAGTTCCTCTACAGTCCCTGCTTGAAAGTACTTCCAGGTCTGTTCGGACAAAAAGCACAGGAACAAGAACTAAGGATGAGGATCTACTTTATACTGCAAATTCGAAGTTCAAATTGTTTTGTGAATGGAAAAAAGGAAGAATTTATTGGGAAATTTACAATTATAACAATGCCGTCTGAGTACTCTGCAGATGTGCTCCTGTTGTTCTGTCTTCCAGTGATGATTTCCAATATAAGCACTCCGAAGCTGTAGACATCTGCCTTTTCTGTCAACTGGCCATGAGCTAGGTATTCAGGAGCCATATATCCCCTGAGGTTAATTACAAATACCAGTAAGCTTACATTTTTGGAGTGTACTTAGTTTATCTTCACTAAAACAACCCGAAATATTACTATAAATAAGCTTACAATGTTCCTGCAATGGCTGTGCTGATGTGACTCTTATCTTCCTCGAAAGACCTGGCCAACCCAAAATCTGCAATTTTAGCACGAAGCCTTGAATCCAAAAGGATGTTGCTGGCCTTTATGTCTCTGTGAATAATCCTTGTTGTCGAGTTGTCATGAAGGTAGACTAAACCTTCTGCTGTCCCAACAATGATCTCATATCTCCTCTCCCAGTTAAGTGTTTTAGCCCTTTCTTGGTCTGTTGAAATTTGTCAGAACAATTGAGAGAAGTTCAGAAGCATGCATGGCATATCACCAGTTAGGATTTGTATAAGTCAACGTAAATCTATGAAATTACCGAATATGAAGCGGTCTAGACTTCTGTTTGGTAGGTATTCATAGACGAGAAGGCTTTCAGGTCCTGCGCAACTGCAACCCAACAACCTGACCAAGTTTTTGTGTTCGACGCTGCTTATAATGTTGATTTCGTTATAGAAATCTGCTGCTCTGTGCCTGTTGTTGAAGAAAAGCCTCTTCACGGCAATCTCTCTCCCATCAGCCAGAACTCCCTGCTAGGATAAAACCTTGTTAGTTTCTGAGATAGAGAGGCATCGGACATACAAGACACACAAAAGACGAGGAGATAAACTACTTTGTAAACAGTTCCGAAACCTCCTTGCCCAAGCTTGTTGACAATGTCAAAAGACCCTGTGGCCTTTTCAATTGTTGAGTACTTGAAGTTTAAGCTACTGTCGTTTAGGGTTTTCGCCCACTTTTCTGCATCATTTGTTCCTGCAAAACTCCGAAAAGCTTTTGGCGGTCGGTAATCTTTTACGAGTGAAATTCCATCTCGTCCATTGTAGACGTCATTAAATTTGCACCATTGATGAAGCAATGCAATAACTAAGTACAATCTGTTTGCATTGCAGAGTTTCTACAAGCTTTTTACCTCTTCTTTTCTTTTGTATATATCTGTTTTTCCAGATATAAAATCCAATGGCTGCTCCAACTACTAAAACCACCAAGGAGCTGATAACTGAAGCTACGATGACAATTATGGTACCTGCAACAAAGTTTAGAAGATTAGGTGAGCGAAACTACGCACCGGGCTCAATCTCGAGCTACCAAAGCAGCCTGCTCTCCACCCGCTCAAACCGATAAGAGGAGACCTATGTTAAAGAAAAGGGGTAGAGTTTCATTTACCTCTGGAACTCCCATTTCCCATTTCCTTGTTGAGAAAATCTGTGTCCGAATACCTCATGAAGCACCCGGTGTACAATGCACGCCCCTCGGACCAAGGCAAGCATCCCAACATTGACGCAGATGCATTCTCTAAACACTGTCTGCAGGAGCTCTCATCCAAAGTTCTCCAGCAATCCGCCAACACGTAAGCCGATTGGTTCGCTGTCCTACTGACACTCACCTCACCCCTTGCATAGCCTCGTTTGCTTGGTGCAGACTCAACCGCACGCCTCACAACCTCCCTTGCTGATTCTCCGAACGCTGAACTCTTCCTTGTCGTGTTCCCACACACAACCCTGTCCTCCGATCCTCTAAACTCCTCGTAAAAGCTGTAGTTTTCGGACCTCATGAAGCAACCGTCGAGGTAAATCCGACCCCCATTGTAAGGAAAACATTGGGGAAGCACTGTACGCGCCTCAGCATAGCATAACACACAGTCTAGAAGAGAAAGATCTCCGTAGCATTGAGCTAGGCCATAGTTTGTATCAGGGCCCGAACCGGTTACTGCCACGCCAAAGCCAGAAGTTCGCATTTGTTCGCTGATGTTTTCCATCGTGCTGACAAAATTCGGAACAAAAACGGCTGTGTTGTGCTCAGGTTGGTTGCCGCACACTATTTCGACCGTCTTCGTTCTTGGATCTCCGGCAGCCATTCCTAGTAACAGCAGGATCTTCAGGAGAAGTAAGTTTTGGGAAAGAGCTGAAAGATTGCATTTCTTCATTTTTTTGGGATGAATTGGAACTTTGGTTTAATTTGCAGCTGCCTCCATCCAAATTTATATGAAGGAATGTTGTGGAAGATTTAAGGATTGCTGGCAATTGGGCAAATGGGAATTAGAAGTGTAGCTATTACAGAAGAACGGATGGCATAAAAGTAGCAATACAACATGGATAAATTGCATTCAGAATTAGGCACCGTCCCTTAAAGTTCGAGGCTTTGAGGAGGTGGTTGGTTTACATTGCTGGGTTTCCATCTCAAAGTCAAAAGGGCAGGTCTTGGATTTTGGGTTCTTATCTGTTGCAGGGATTGCAGCCCCGAGTTTTCTTTGGGTTCACACTTTCACAGTCAACTTAAACAAGAAACGTTTCTTTGATCAGCCTTCTGAAACCGGAGAGAGACTTCCCTACACTATTGTGATGTCATAGGGAGTGGGACAACCTGATAATACAGTGTCACGTCGAGACGATGCACATGACATTATAATATTTATATGAAACAACACACATTGCATTAAATCATTGATTCAAATGGAATCCTAAAGTGTAGGCGAGTTTATAGGTGAAAATTGGACGACTTTTATGGCATAAATATTAACGCTATGATAATATTTTATGTCAATAATAAAATATATTGTAAATTTCTTTTGACATGATAAAAATATCACCACGGTTGATACAATGTCATGTCGAGACGATACACATGGCTTTTGCATGAAATCTACACAACAGACTGGGACATGAGGCTAGGACAGCTCGGAACAGAATAACGAGGAGGGTCCCACAAGGGCTCCACAAGCATTCCCAGTTTGGAGAAAGCTTTCAATGACATGAGAACGCGGAGTGGTATACCAAGTGTCATAATACAGTTAATTGAATTTTTTTTCTTTGAGTTTCCAATCAATCTTGTACTCACCATACTGAATAATCTCTCCCCAGTTTGGACCCCACAGTTCGGATTGAATGTGATAGTAAAAGGTCGGCATTGAATTATAGAGGGAGGGAGGGAGGAAGGAGGAGTGATTCCCTGAACTAAACCACATAAATATCCAACCATATAAGATCCCACCCAATCCCCACCATGGTCCCATGACCTCCAGCCAGCCCGCCATGGCCATTTGCCACTTGCCACCAGCAGCTCACGTTAAACGTCTAAACTGCTGACGTTATAGTATTGTATACTGGTCCCCGGTGATGACTCAAATCAAGATGTTAACTTGTTAAGCAGCTAGCTTAACATTAGCTTAATATCAATACTGTGACAATGGTATCAAGATGTTAACTTATTAAAATTCTAAACCGCTGACGTTATATTATTATATACTAGATACGTTTTTTATTCAGTGGCAATGGTATTAACATATTACCAATGACATATCGTTGATCCATTCAGATAAACTTGCTTGAGAAAGTGAGAGCAGACTCAGCAGAGCAAGTCATCAATACAGGCACGCTGGTAAATCCAAAAATAAAAGGACTTCTCGCCATCTCCATATTAGCTGCAGGAATACACAGAATCATGGCAGAATGTTTAGGAGCTATATCCTTACCCTAAATAAAGATATGATTACTCGCAGGATATATATATATATATATATATATATAGACACACTAAACTGTCAAGGAATTCGTAGACAAAAAATGAACTACAGAAGTTGTAGACAAAGTTTTGAGTGCGTGGAAATTGGTTTTTTTTCGTAAAACATGAGACCTATAAATATATATGTACGCGTACCTTTTGTTTTTGCATTAGATGACTGAAACTATGAGTTCCTGCAGGTGAGATGAGAAGCTTAATCGAGGCCTTCTGGCTTATGGCTTTCTGCTGTTGTGAAATGAAGCTAGATAAAGAGAGAGAAGCCAATTCGAATACGTTGAGAAGTCAAAGTGAGCTAGGGCTGTACTGGAAAAGTTTTCTCTTTGCTTCAACTTCAAACTATAAATCGAAAGAATGAGGGAGGAGCAGTGGAAACCACGCGGTGTTGGCCCGAAAATCCAACAG